AACTGGCGCAAGACAACATTTAAGCACAACGTGGACCTGCGGAATGCGCGAAGCGTTTGCAACATCAGACGGCTGTTACGCTAAGGAATTGTGGATGCTGGCTCTGCTGCGGGATGTGCTGGATGCCGCTATCATGGCTCGAAGGAAAAACCTCTGGACGCCGTGGACGGGACCTGCCCGGCCCAGCAGTGACTGCGACTCCGTGTTCCGAAGCCCTCGTGTCAGAGAAGGCCCCGCCCAAGGTTTTTCCAGGGATAGCGGAGCCGCCTGGAGATAGCCTCCGATTTTCCAACGAGCACCCAAGTTATCAGGTGGTGGGGGGAGGCGCTGGCCGATGACCTAACCTTTTGCTCTGTGGACAGCCGCACGCATGCCCGCGCGCACCAATACTGCGCACGCCCCTTCGGCCCTGAGCGACCGACAAGGTCAACTTCTCGGGGTGGGGAACGGGGTGGGGGCGGGCGTTCCCGATAACCCTGGCCATCGCTGGACCCGTATGAAAACAGTCTCCTGCGGTGCCCTCAAATTCTTTCTAAAGGCCGAGCTCCCACCAAGCCAGCCCCATCAGCACGGTGTCCAAAGGCTTTGCCCTCCAAGGATGGCGCTGGACCGCGCGGTATCGACAGGCAGAAGCTCCGAGCACTTTGACTGGAGCGGGCTTGTCAGTGCTCGGTTGTGCGCCCCCCCTACCCTCACGCTCCTGTCCGAAAAACGGGGGAATAGCAAGAAGGGGGTGTGCGAATCAGCTCAGGTCGGGGGGGCGAACAAGTAGGGTAGGGCAGAAGTGGGGTTGCGAGGAGCATCGTTCCAACGGCTCCTGGAAGAAGGACACGTGAGCACACAGCTGCGCTCCCTAACCCTACCTTGGGATACCCCCCCTCGCTGCGAACACCCAATCAGGCAGGTGATCTTTGAGGCGCCTGCCCACGCCAGAGGCGCCAGCACATCGAGAAAAGCTCCTGCTGCACGCAGCAAATTTCGCACCCCTCCTAAAGGAGGGGTAGGACATCTGCTGCGTACCCATGTCGCACGCCTCCGTACAGGAGGGATAGGGGTTGACATATCCCCGACTTCGTGGGGTTTTGAAAGGCACCAACAGCATTGGAGCCTGAATCGGGGATGTGCGATGGGGGGCGTCCATCCTCGATAGGGGTGCGTCCAGACAGCTCCATAGGGATGCATCCCCGAGCACCCCCTCTTTTCCCGAGCGCCCTGATTCTTCGGAGAATCGGGGGCGAGAGATCGCCCGCGATTCTCCGAGCTAACTTTTTCTAGTATTCGCGATGACCCTCGTGACTGGCCCCGCTCCGCCCCACCCCTCCCCCCCTGGTCACGCCACGCTTCGCGCCGGCGCCGTCTGGGAGCCAGCCATCCTCCAACACTCCCAGGCGGCGCCGGCGCCAATCGTGATCTGACCCGCCGCCCCCCCCCCCTCATCCCCCCTGTCCCTAGGAACAAGGAAAGGCGACACCAACACCAAGAGGGCGAGGAGATGCGAGGAGGCAAGGGGGAACTCCCTGGTGGTGTGGTCCCCCCCTCTCGCTCGAGACATCCCCAGCCTCCAGCTCGGAGAGGCATCGTGGACCTCCTCGATGGCGGTGGGCCCCCTGGTGGTGTTGGTATCGCTTCTCCTCCCTCTCCCGGTCACGCCCGTCGTCGCCAGGGGTTTAAAAAAGATGTCTCCTCCCAGACATGCGATGGCCTGAGCTCTTCAGTACGGGGCCCCCGAGGCCCCGACCTTTTATGCCCAGGACCGTTTGCGCGTCCCGGATCGGTTTGTGACGGTCCTGGGGCCCGGTACACTGACCTTCCAGAGTGCTAAAAAATAGCCCTCCAGACCTATAGACCTATCTGGGCTGCCGAAAGCCTCGACAGGAATTAAGATATCGAGGTCCTGGTGCTATTTTTTAGCCCTCCTGGAAGGTCAGGGTAAAAGCCCCCCAGAGGCCAAACACCGCCGAGCCCCTCCCGTCCTGACTTTTCCGCGGCGCGAACCTGTCTGCGTCCGATCGGGCCCGACGCTCTCGCGCTGGACCCCGAGCTCTCGCCCAGAGGGCGGTCGACAGTGCGGGCCGTCGGCTCGTCCCCCCCCCCCCCCCCCCACCTCCTCCCTCTCCTCCCCCCTCCCCCCACCCTCCTCCCCCCCCCCCCTCCCCCCCCCCCTCTCCTCCCTCCCCCCCCCCTCCTCCCGCCTCCCCCCTCCCCCCCCTCCCCCCCCCCTCTCCCCCCCCACCTCCTCCCTCTCCCAGTCACGCCCCTTCTCGCCAGGGGCATAACAACGGAGCCCCCGAGCTCTCGCCGGCACGGCGCCTCGCCAGTGCGGGGGGCCGTCGGCCCCGCGGCCCTTCGGCGCGGGCTGCCTCCGCTCGCCAGTCTCCGCGGGGCCGCGTCGTGGGCCCCACAAGGCCTGGGAGGCCCCCTGGGGCCCACCAGGCCTCCTCCTCCTCCTCCTCCTCCTCCTCCTCCTCCTCCTCCTCCTCATCTCATCCTTCTCATCCTCTTCCTCCTCCTCCTCCTCCTCCTCCTCCTCCTCCTCCTCCTCCTCCTCCTCCTCCTCCATCCCTCTTCCTTATAAATAACTCGTCCCTGTCACACTCCGAGGCCGGTCGAAACAGCGGGCCGGGCGTTTTGCCTGAGACTCACGTGTTCACAATGTTTGATCATGAAGCGCGAGGGTTGAGACAATTCAACAGAAAGAGGGTGACCCGCTTTCAACATGTGGCGCTCGCCTTCGCGCCGCGCACGCTCGTTTTACAAATCTGCAAGTTTTCACCCATGGAGGGCACCCCGCCTGCCGCTTGCAAGATGTCGCTCTCGCCACAGCGCCGCGCGCATTCGCTGCACCACTCTGCCAGAGCTTCGCGGAGGCAGGGCGCTCCGCTTTCAGCACGTGGCCCTCTCCTCCGCGCCGCGCACACTCGTTTCACACGTCTCCCCAGGATTCACGGAGGGAGGGCACCCCGCTAAAAAAAAAAACGCCGCTCTCGCCTCGGCTCCCCGCGCGCGCGCTCGTCGTGCAGCTGTGCTCGAGCTTCTCGCAGGCGAAGGGCGCGCTCCGCTTGCAGCGCGCGGCCCTCGCCCCAGCGCCGCGCGCCCTCGTCTCGCGAGCGTGCGAGGGCTTCGCGGAGGGAGGGCGGGGCTCCTTCTCGGAGTGCGGCTCTCGCCTCGGCGCCGCGCACCTCCGTCTTCAGAGCTCGCGGCAGCTTCAAGGCCCTGCAGCATGCGGAGTTTCAAGGCCCTCAACATTCGCGGCAGTTGCACCAGGCGCTGCGCACCTCAGAGTCCGCGGCAGCTCCGAGGCACTGCACGGCTGACGTCGCAGCCGCTGCGTTCTGGCAGGATGTCGGACTGTCCTGGCGGAACAGTCGCGTTGACCCGCGGCGTCGCAGTCCTAGGAATGGCTGTCTGGCACGACTCAGGACCGCCAAGACGCAACAGTACTGCTGATTCGCGGCCCTGAGTCCCACGATTGGTGTTCTGGCACAGTGCCGGCTTTTCAACCCCCCCTTCAGTGGACATGAACCCTTGTAGGGGCCTATGAAGAGAGGGAACTTGGAGGGAGGCTTTCTTGCAATGTCGCTGAGGAGTCTTGGGCTTACACTGGTCCTCCTCCTTCTCCTCCTCCTCCTCCCCCTCCTCGACCTCCTCCTCCTCATCCTCCTCCTCCTCCTCCTCTGCCTCCTCCTCCTCCCTCCTCCTCCTCCTCCCTCCTCCTCCTCCTCCTCCTCCCTCCTCCTTCCCCTCTTCTCCCTCCTTCCCCCCCCCCAAGCAGGCCCACTATGCCGCCGACTGCGACGACGAATGCCTCCGCCGACACATCGACGCCGACGTCAGCGACGCCGACGCCGCCGACCACGACGCCGAGGCCGCTGCCGCCGGCCTCCCCGCCTCTCGTCATCTCAGAACTGACTACCTACCAGACCACCCCAACCCAACACGAAGTCCCGAATTTCTGGGTTGGGGGCTTCACATGTTCCCACCCCACCCCCCCCCACTGGAAATGGAGGGCAAATCGGGGCCTTCGGGTTGGGTTGGGGTGGTTTGGTGGGCGGTGACAAACCTTATCTGGACGTGGTGGGTGAGCGTCAGGCCCTCAGCGACGCCAGCGCCGTCGACGACGACGCCGAGGCCGCCGCCGCCAGCCTCCCCGTCCCTCGCCCTCTCAAACCGTGTCTGGACGTGGGGGAGAGCGTCAGGCCCAAACTCCTCCAAGCGCAAGGGCCAGGCGGCGAGGGGGGACCGAGCGGGGGCCCGAAAACGAGCCAGGCGAGGGCCCTCAAGGAACCGAGCGGAAGGGACCGACCGAAACGCAGCTAGGGCCGCGAAAACCGCGCAGGCGCAAAACGCTGGCAAGCTTAGCAGGAAAGCTGGCAAGCGTAGCAGTCAGGCAAACAACTACGGTGAGACCAAGGACAGACGATCGCCCTTCAAGATTATGAGGCCCTCCGCCGTCCAACATACCCCAAACCATCAGATTACTCCAGGGTGCCCCTCCCCCGGATGCACAAGAACGTCCAACAGACACGAAGAGCATTAGGGTATGCCCTCCCCGAACCGAACTCGATCTTAGACCTCTGTCCGACCGTACTTAGACATATAAGTCCTCATCGCGGCGTAGCGTCATCTCGGACGGGGGCTGAGGAACAGGGAGGGGCAGGATCAGCCAGCATCGGTTCGGGGAGCCAAGTCGGATCGAACTGTGCGTCGGGTCCGAGCTCGAATCGGATCCGCGGCGCCGGCATGCGCAGCAGCGCCGTGCAGGCACCGGGCCGCATCGGATCGTCGGAATATCGGACTCGAATCGGATCGGGCTGGCCAGTATCGATATCGAATCGGATCGATCGAATCGGGATGGGCCCTGGAGGGCTGAGGAGCAGAGAGGGGGGGAGGGATTGACAGCTGGGTGCCACGGGAAGGCTTCTCCCACTGCAGCGCACTGGGCCTGTCCTGCGGCAAGGGGCCAGCCAGCCGGGGGCCCTGAAGCAAGCATGGACCGCGCCTCACAGCTTGATGCTCAGCTTGATCAACACTGCAATTATCGCCACCCCGATCGCCGCTCCAATGCCGAGTAGGGCGGGAAGCGACACGGGCAACGTCTTCTGGTGCTCGAGCTCCCACTTCTTTTTCTGCTGCTCGAGCTCCAGGCGGTGGCGCGTCTTGAGCTCCTCGCACTCAGAGGCCTTCTGGTCGCGCTCGGTCACCTTCTGATTCGGGGAAGCGCTAACAACCCGTGATCGCCTGGTGCACCTCAACGGGAAACCTATGTGTCAATCTGGTTTCCTTCTCCCTTGCGCAGCGCTGCTTCTGTCGAGCTGCACTCCAATCGCTGAACCAAGCCAGAGGGCAAGCGAGAAAGGAAGCCTCGAGTGCTAGTCAGGAGACCAACTAGAGTGTTCACGCAGAGAAGGCACGACGCTGTAGGGCAAGCTGACAACGACCTGGAAGACAGACTGAGTGCGCACGCGAGGATAGACATAATAACAAACTACAGCCCAATCAATAATGTGTGCATGAACAAAACCTACAACAAGAAGCTCGACCATCAGCCAGACAGCTAGACGTCACACTAGCGGGCATACCCAACGGCGAGCTTAGATGCAAGCTAGCAGCATAGTGCAATGTAAGGACGTGCTAAAAGCTGCAGACGAAAAAACGAACGTAAGGCAACAATGGTAGAAGCTAGGCTCAGTGAAATAAGCCATGCTAGAACACACGGGACTGCGCAATAGTGAGACAATGCATTCAGCATGCATGCGAGTTGGAACACCACACGTAACCTAACAGGCAATCACTTGAGCTAGCCAGAGTGAGAACTGACAGGGAATCAACCGTATGAGCAAACACGCGCGCCAGAAAAAGGCCACAGGACAATCGAGAACGTAAGCTGTAAAGGCATGCAAGCAAGCTAACTGCATGCTACACGGTATGCTCAACGGCGGCAGGAGTGTGTGGGAGTGCCTGCGAGTAGCCAGGCGAGAAGGAAAGCGAGAGGGCAATGTGGGCGGCAAGCTGAACCTAGAAAGCACGCCTTGCGGCAGTCCAAGACAATTCTGACACGCAAGCAAGAGCAAGAGAGAGCACATGAGGTTTGGAGCCGCCAACTACCTTTTGATCGGTATGTACACATACACATCCATGTATATATGTACATATGTACCTATGTGTGAGATTTAGCGCGCCAGGGGAGACAACGTCAGAGGGGGGTCCCACCCCCCTCGTTCCCGCCCCCCCTGCCTTTTCTCCCGCTCTGAAAGCTAACCCACCCCCTCTATTGAACCTCCCCGGATGGAAGCGCCCCCCCGCTAACCCTTGCCTTTCGCTCCACAGACCCCACCCCGCCCTTGAGCCTCCCCAGCCGGAAAGCCCCCCCGCCGTCCCCCCGCAGCCTCTGCAAGCGTCCAACCCCCACCCGCCCCACCTCCCATTTCTCGAGCTCCCGACGCTACCCCCCCTTTGGCACCTCTGCCAAGGCCATCCCCCCCACTCATCCCTTTTCCCGTTCGGTCCCTGCAATTTCCCCCCCCGCCGTGCAACTCCCCAGTCGGGAGCCCCCCGCCCCTCCCCCAGCCACAACGACGACGACTACGACGACGACGACAGCGACGACAACGCCGGCCGACGACGACGACAACGCCAGCCCACGACGACGATGACAACGGCCGACGACGACGACGACGACGGCGACACTGGCCGCCGCCGACGACGACGACGACGACGACGACGACGCGCCGCCGCCGACGACGTTGACGACGACACCAGCCGACGACGACGACGGCGACAACGACGCCGACGCCGACGCCGACGCCGACGACGCGGGACGACGGCCGCGACGACGACGAAGACGACGACGACGCTGAGGAAGACGTCGACGACGACGACAACGACGCCGACGACGACGACGACGACCACGACGACGACGACGGCGACGAGCTACCCCCTCTTCCTATGGACCTCCAGAGCCCGAAGCCCCACACCCCTGCTCCCCCACTCTGACTCTGCATCTCTGGGCTTTACAACAGCACCCTACGGACTTCTTGCTGATCCGTCGGGGTGTTGTTTGTGCGGACTCCTTCGGGTGTCCCCGACCGCCGACTGCAGTCGTCACGTTGTTCTGCTCATCACATGGCAGTGGTGGGACGTGACAGCGCAGGAGGGCGGAAATCATCCCACCAGCCCTCTGAGCGTAGGTAGTCTAACGACTTCTTTCCTCTTCCTCAACCATGTGCAAGTGAATCAGGAAAACGAAGTCGCTAGGGACAGAAAGAGGACAACAATCAAGCATAATCTTCCCCTGGGTAAAGACCGTCCACCTTCCTGCCAGAAGCGGCGGCAATGGACAGGAAGCGGTCATAGACTGCACCAAGCACAGTGAGCTGATATAGCGAAATCGTGTGGCACCAACGGCGTAGAACCCTCGCCTCCCTGAGATGTTTTTGGGGTGCCGCGAGCGGTCAGTGCGCCCAAGATGGCCCAAGGTGGTTCAATATCGCTTCCAACATACCTTCAAGAGGCCCGACGAGAGCCACAAGACGGTTCCAAGTGCTCTCGGACCCCGCGTTGGGACCCCCCAAGAAGCCAACACTCTTCAAGAACCAAAGGAAAATCAATGATTGTTGCCTTCTCGCCTTTCGGCTTCCGATGGTGTTCTGAGGGCTGGGGCCCAAGATGCCCCCCCAAAACGGACCCCGCGACCGCCCAAGATCGGCCCAACAGTTGAGTGCCCAAAGAGCGCCCTAAGATGCGATTTTGGAGGCCCAGGGGGGAGAAGGCACATCGGGGACCCCCCTCCTCTGATCGACGCCCTACAAAATGGCCCCGACAAGCCGGGCCCCAAGAGAGCCCCCAAAGGGCCCCACGAGGGGCCTAAGACATCTTGAGAGAGAGAGAGACCAAATTAGAACCCCAGGCCCTTTCAAACGAGCCCCAGGAGAACCCAAAGCAAACCTCAAGAGGACCCCAAGAGTGCCCCAATAAGACCCGAAAATGACTCGAAGAGTTCTTATCCTCGTTGACCTCCTCCTGCTCCTCCTGCCTACCTCAAAGATGGCTCAGTACGGTCCTCCCCCTCATCTCTTTGCCCGTCTCGTTTCGCTATATGGGTCCCTGCCTCCTGCTTCCCGTCTGCTCTCGGGGCAACGTTTCTAAATGGGCGGGTGGTGATACGCGAAAAGTGAATAATACAATTCCCCGTTACTCGTCACAGAGCTACTACCCAAGGACCGAACACAACTCGATCCCATCATCCCCACCGCGTGGCAGCACTGTGGGCGACAAGCCAACTATTCGACTTCACTCGCACAACACCTAGTATTCAACTGTACCCATCACATGCTTACGCAGGAGCCAGGCGACCCGCCAGAAATATTCGCCATCCTTGAGGTTCTTAAAAAACGCAATTCGGTTGGAATCGTCTGGACAACAAAACCCTGCGTCAATTGAGTCGCAAAGTGGCATTCAACGCATGGGGCCGCAACCCACTCCGATCCTGCTTTGCACGTCACGCTGCAACGCGGGATGGGCGACACTTTCCGCGGGCATTGCGTCGAGCACCAATCTAACCTGCCAACTCCCCGCTGTGTTCTACATCCTCCAAGACAGTCGTGGATAGTATATCGAGAGACCACTCCACAGTTTAATGCTCAGCCACAAACGAGTCAACCACTATATCAAAACATCGCCCCGCCCGACACATCATTTGCCCGTGGCCAGCACACTTGCATCTGCAAATGGCAAAACCAACGACAACCTGCCCATCGCGTCTTCGCGCCCCGTCCACGCGCACCCGACAATTCCAGCGTTGCCGCCCTGTCTGGGGTAGGAAACTGGGATCGCGCCATTCCCACTCTCTAACACAATACCACATTGAATTCCAATATACGTGTTACGTGGCAACGCAAGGATACGGAACACGTAGAAGTGTAGCTTCGTCAGATGGCAGCACAGGGAAGCGAAACCAAGTCGGGAAGAATCTTGCCCGTCAAGCGGCCGCGCGCCCGCCCAGCCGCTCGCGCGCCCTCCCGCCCGCGCGCCCGCCAAGCCCGCCCGCGCGCGCGCCCGCCAGCCCGCGCACCCGTCCGCCCGCGCGCCCGCCCGCGGGCGCGCCCGCTCGTCCGCGTGCCCGCCCGCCGCACGCCCGCCCGTTCGCTCGCCCGCCCGCCCGCCCGTTCGCTCGCCCGCCCGCCCGCCGCCCGTTCGCCCGCCCGCCCGCCAACGTCCCGCGCGCCCGCCCACCCGTGCGCGTGCCTGCCCGCGCGCGTTCGCCCGCTGGCCCGCCGGCCTGCGCTCTCGCCCCACTCGTCCGCCCGCCAACTTTTACGGCCGCCCGCCCGCCTGCTCGCGCGCCCCCGCCCGCCCGCCCGCGCGCCCCTCCGTTTGCGCGCGCCCGCCTGCTCACCGGCCCGCCCGCCCGCCCACGCGACCGCCCGCCCGACCGCCCGCCCGCGTGTGCGCCCGCCCGCGCGCCCGCCCACATGCCCGCGCGCCAGCCCGCCCTTGCGCCCGCCCGCCCGCGCGTTCGCCCGCTGGGTTGCCTGTCTGTCCCGCCCGCCCGCCCGCCCCCGCGCGCCGGCCCGCCCGCGCGCCCGCCCACCCGCACATGTGTCCGCCCTCTCGCACTCCCAGAATCCTCATTGAATCCTCAGGGGTCCGAGGGTACACGTGTGATATCTGTCGAAGAAGCTCGGTTGTGGACTGTACTTGTCACGTGGCGCAGATAAAACAAACACAAACACCATCCTACAGTCCTCGTCACGCGGCAACGCGTAGGGGAAGAGAAACTACTAATATGAGCGACGTCTCCACACCGGGTTGAACAAAAGCACGGATCGTTTGCAGTCGCCACTTGGCAGCGCAAGTAGGGCGGAACCAAGGAGCATGCACGTCTACTCGTCTACTCGACACATGGGGACGCGGGGGGAAGGGGATAGGAAACACCTAATGTTCTTCACCGCTCGCCGACGACAACGATAACGACGACGACGATAACGACGACGACGACGACGACGACGACGACGGCGAAGATGACGACGACGACGACGACGACGAGCTACCACCCCTCCCCATGGACCTCCCCAGCCCGAAGCCCACCCCCCTGCACTCCACTCGGCCCCTCCACCTCTGGAGTCGACAGCAATCAAAATCTTCACAAATCCAACGGAATTCCCAGGGACCCGTCAATATATTTACAATTTCCTTCAGATATCTTCGATCGTCGACTGTATTTGCCGCGTGGCACCGCAGAGGGCAAACAAAAAATCGAAGGCAGCTCTGCTCATCACATGGCATACCTGGGAGGGCGAACAGCTAATGGAAAATTCGACTTGCCACGTGGCTACGCAGGGGGACGCAAAACATACCAGTCAACACTACTCGTACAATGGACGCGCAGAGATTGGAAACAACTAAAAAGCATTATTCTGGACTACAGTGGAGTCAACCCACGACGACGACAACGAAGAGGACAATGACGACGGCAGCGGCGACGACGAGGGTGACAACGACGACGACGACGACGACGAGAAGCACGACGACGAAGACGACGTCGACGAATACGACGAAAACCTCAACGACACCGCCGACGCTAACGCCGACGCCAACGCCGCCGTCGCCGCCGACGAGAACAACGAGGACAACGAAGATGACGACGACGAGACTTCGTGCAGATGCTGGCAACCCCAAGCTTCGCAAAGGGACAAGGGAAGGGCGCAAATTCTGACGCCCCGTCCCTCTTCGGAAAGTTAGCCCGGTCTCACCCCGGAAGCCTACAGGGCAATGTGGGTTAGTTTCCAAAGTCCCCTTCGTCCTCTGACAGAAAGGGAGGCGAGGGTGAGCCTCCGAAGCTTCCCCGCAGGCCGGGGCTCTGGCGTCGAGAAGGGAGAGGGGGGGGGGGCCGAAGCCCCCTCCCCCCTCCCACATGCCCAGTTTCAAAACGGAGGGGGGGGGTAGCTCTGGAAGCCCCCCCCCTCTGGTGAAGGGGGGGACTTGAAGTTGAAGCCCCCCTCTGGTTCGTAGTGTCTGCCATAGCGCGCCCTTTGACGCCTATATAAATATATACCTATACACATAGAGATCCGCCGGCTCCCTTGCGGGGCCACCAGGCTGTAGGCCGGAGGTTCGCAGTTTCCTGTACCAGTTGCAGCTTCCAGTTTCCACTGTTACAAATCTGCTCATTTCTGCTTACTGTTCCTTGTTGACTTCTTGCTGCTTGCTGTTCCTTGTTGATGGACCGCGCGAGGGAGGGAGGCCCAAAACAAGCATTTCTACCACGCCCACATCGTATTCTCTGAATTGCTGGGATGGGTGAAAATTAACACCCCTCACGCAGATCGGCCGGGTCAGGGTCCAAAAACACATGGGATTTGCCACTTTTCTAAAATTCGGTGGCACCCCTCACGCAGATCGGCGGGGTCCGGGTCCAAAAACACATGGTATTAGCCACCTGTCTGAAATTCGGTGGCACCCCTCATGCAGATCGGCGGGGTCAGGGCGCGAAAACATATGGGATTTGCTACATTTCTGAAATTCGGTGGCACCCCTCACTCAGATCGGCGGGGTCAGGGTCAAAAACACATTGGATGTGCTACATTTTTGAAATTCGGCGGCACCGTTCACGCAAATCGGCGGGGTCAGGGTCCAAAAACACCGGGGATTTGCAACTTTTCTGAAAGTCGGTGGCGCTCCTCACGCAGATCGGCGGGGTCAGGGTCCAAAAACAAAAAGGATTTGCCACTTTTCTGAAATTCGGAGGCACCCCTCATGCAGATCGGCGGGGTCAGGGTGCAAAAACAAATAGGATTTGCCACATTTCTGAAATTCGGTGGCGCCCCTCACGCAGATCGGTGGGGTCAGGGTCCAAAAACACATGGGATTTGCCACATGTCTGAAATTCGGTGGCACCCCTCACGCAGATCGGCGGGGTCAGGGTCAAAAACACATTGAATGTGCTAAATTTTTGAAATTCGGCGGCACCGTTCACGCAGATCGGCAGGGTCAGGGTCCAAAAACACAGGAGATTTGCCAGTTTTGAAATTCGGCAGCATCCCTCACGCAGATCCGTAGGATCAGGGTCCGAAAACAATACGGATTTGGAACATGTCTGAAATTCGCGGCACCCCTCACGGAGATGCGTAGGGTCAAGGTCGAAAAACAAGCAGGTCCCGACACTGCTTCACGGCGAAGCCAAAGCCTCATGACTTCGCTCTTCCATGGCCCATTCTCCAAGAGAGGGGGCCGGCAGCAGGGGGCGAAGCCCTTACGAATAGATTGTAGATGTACTTCCTGTGATCATCCGAAATCATTACACACATTGATACATATCTAGACACGAATGCACTAAAATCTGCAGGCCTCTGCATATTTGGGTGAGCCCTCCCCCACGCTCGCGAAACTAGCCCTGATAATGTCCACCACACTTTGTGCGGTGGCGGTTGCGAACACGGCTTCGTGGTCGTGCCTCCGCTCCCGAACCAGGGCGCCGAGGCGCCAGGGCACCAGCGCAAGACATCCCAGCATCGAACCGATCAGTCAGCTCGGCGATCGGCATGAATCGGATCGGCGGAAGCCGGCAGCCAGGTCGGGAGAAGTCGCATCGGCGGAGATGGGCAGGCTAGCGAGGCCTCCATGGGGAAGCCGAAAAATCCAAGGCTCGACTCGAATCGGAATCGGAAGCGGAGTCGCTCATGGGCAGAGCACATCCCCGTGCCCGCGGCCTCGCCGGCAGGGCTGGGCCGCTGGGCGGCGACCCCGCGGATACGGGGCGTTTTCCCGCGGATGCATATCCGTGCGACCGCGTGTCCGCGGGATCGCGCCCTGGAGTCCAGACCGCGAGGGTTTGGATACAGAAACACTCGCCAATCATGAGACGTAGGTGGCGACATTCGAGCTTTACCCCCAGCCAGCAATGGATTCTCCTGAATTGATGCGAGGCGGGGGTAGGATTCGGATTTCGCCACGTGTTCGACGAATTCCGAACCCCACCCCCGCCGCCCATCGAGTTGCCCATCGAACTCCCATCGGATATGTCCGCCGCTCACGGGTCGCATCGACTCGAGCCGGGGGAGGGAGGAGGAGGAGGAGGAGGAGGAGGAGGAGGAGGAGGGAGGAGGAGAGGAGGGAAGGAGAGGAGGAGGGAGGAGGAGGGAGGAGAGGAGAGGAGGGAGGAGGAGGAGGAGAAGGAGGAGGAGGAGGGAGGGCAGGAGGAGGAAGGAGGAGGAGGAGGAGAGAGGGAGGAGGAGGAGGAGGAGGAGGGAGACGAGAGGAGCCCTGCGAGAGGCGCGCGCTGGGGGCCTTCCTGCCGACCTCCTGCTCCGCCTCCTCGAGCTTCCGGCGCAGCTCCTCGACCTCCTGCGGCGGGCGCCGCCGTCGAGGCGGCCCCTCGCGCCCCCCCAGCTCTCCTCTCCCCGGGGAAGGTAGGCCCAGACTGCTTCCAGGTCCCCCCTGCCTCCCCCCCTCCTCGTCCTCCTCCTCCTCCTCCTCCTCCTCGTCCTCCTCCTCGTCCTCCTCCTCCTCCTCCTCCTCCTCCTCCGCCTCCTGGTCCTCCTCCTCTGCCTCCTCCGCCTCATCGCGAGACTGGCGGAGGCCCTAGGGCCCCAGACCGTAAGAGTGATCCTAGGCAAGAGTGGCCCTTGGTGCGTGGGGGACTGTCGGGGGGGGCGCGGGAAGGCTGAACACAAGCGTGCAGGCCGCTGCTATCGCGTCGCATTCAACGATCAGGAGGCCCCAATGAGCCCGCACCAAAGGTCACTCCGGCGAAAGGTCACTCTTACGTGTAGTCGGCTCCAGGGCACCACATCACGAGGCTGTCTTTTTCTAGACTCAAGGGAAATTGCTTGCATGGCAGTTCCCCCCCACACCCCTCCGCGGCCTCTTCAAACAGCGCGCTGAGCCGAAAGGGCGTGCAAGTCAAGACCGACTTGCGCGGAGTACACGACGTTCACTTCTAATCGTGCTCATTTCTAATTCTGCTCGTTTCTGGCTGTCCCTGGCCCTCTAATGGCCAGGACGCGGTCCAGGATAGAACACTCAGAAATGAAAGGATCTTGGCCCCCCCAAAAAATCAAAGAACTTTCCAAGAATCAACAGTGTGTACAGGCTTCATGTCAGGCCCCGCCGCGTCCCCCCCCCCGCCCACCTCCCTGCAGGCAAACTTGCCCGAATCCAAAAAACAAAAACTGCCTCCCAGAGGTTTCAGCAGGGCGCGGGAAGCCTGACCTTCCAGGAGGGCCAAACAATAGCACCAGGACCTCGACATCTTAATTCCTGTCGGGGTTTAGGCAGCCCAGATAGGCTTATAGGTCTGGAGGGCAATTGTTTAGCACTCTGGAGGGTCAGGGAAGCTGGGGGGGGCACCCTGGGCTGGGGTAGCCTAGGCAGAAGTGGAACCGACGCAGACCTAAACTTGCGGAGGTCCGCGCGGATCTCATGGAACGGCGCTCAGCCCCACTACCTGGCGCTCGGAGTGCGCCAGGGGCGGCGCCAGAGGCGCCGCTGGGCAAAGAGGACCGGCTCAGATCCTAGAAATCCGTGCGGACCCTTCTTCAGACATGTCGCGTCCTGCTTTTTGCACACACTGGCAGCTCAGAAAACTAAGCTCCTTCCAAGGGCCCGCTTTTTTGTTCCTGGCGTTGTCTTTCTACGGTCCCAGAGCCTGGTGAGGGCCTCCTTAGGCCGAAAATTAGCAAGAAACGCCCGTCGTGATGCCGTCGCAGAGGCACCAGAAACCGCAGAGACCGCCACTTTAGCAGGTCCACGCGGGTGTCTCGGGCCAGGCGAAGGGGGGGGATAACAAAGGGAGGGTTTGAGAATCAGTTCACGTAGCCGATTGTTCTGGCGCCTCCCGGCGCCGGAGGCGCCCATGTATCGAGAAATGGGCCCAGCGGCGGGGCCGAAACCAGCTGCATGCAGCAGATTTCGTACCCCCCCCAACTTCCCAATCCCCCCCTTTCGTCCGGCCCGAGTGTCCCGGAGCTGTGCGGAACCCCCCTGCCCTGGCGCGCGGAGCCAGCCGGGGGGCGGCTGTGAAGGTGCCGCCAGAGGGGCGCAGCGCCGATCCAAAAACTCCGCGCGGATCTCCCAAAAGTTTCTGCTCGTGCCGTGTGTTTTTTCGATTTCGCAGCGAGGGGAGGCCCGGGTCTGGCGACGACCACGGGAGATCGTCAGCCTAGTAAGGCCTCCACCGAGAAGCCGGAGTCCAAATCGAACTCCGAAGTCGAGGCGGAACTGGAATCCATCGAAACCAACTCGAATCACGTCCGAGTGGTCGAAATTCGGGCGGGTGGTGATAGGGGGTGACCTATAAAAGTGGGGGGGAAGGAGTGGGCCCGAAAGGGGCCCGCTTCTCCGCCCCCCCGTCAAAGTCACCCCTTCTATGGCCATCCGCCCGAGAAGTGAGCCCCAGAGGCTGGCGAGTCCGGGTCTGGCGACCTCCGCTCCTGCTCCCTCTGCGCCAGCTTCTGCTGCATCCCGGCGTCCGCCGCCAGGTCCGTCCACGAGGACGAAGCGGGCGGCGGCTGGCCGGGCGCCCTCGGCGCCTCCTCGCCGCCGGGGCTGGAGCGAGGAGGGGGAGAGCGTCGGATCGGATCGGAACGCTCGCGCGGGCATTGCGCCCAGGCCCCTGAAGGGAGGAAAGCGGGCGAGACCATGGCCTCGCATGGACAACTTCGCGCGCCAGGGGTAGCTCACGAAGCGGTTTTCCAACTGTTCCGTCGTGCCACTGAGGTCGTGGTGCCTTCGCGGTGTCGGGCGTCGGTGGTGAGGGCGAGGACGGAGCGAGGGGCGGAATAATCCCAGACCTGCTCGCTTCCTGACAAAACCCAAGACGGCAAGCGTTTGGCTGTTTTGGGCTGCCGGGGGCCCGCACGGGGCCCTCTGGGGGCCCTTGCCGGAGCGAGGAGGGGGCGAGGAGGGCAGAGCGAGCGCTGTGGAGACGATGGGCGAGCCCCCCCCCGACCCTCCGCCCTCCCCTCCCCTGTGTGGCCTCCGGCCGCATGACGGCCTCTCCCCCCCCCGCCGACCCCCCTCTCCTTGCCGTCGCTCGGACGTCCATTTCCCGTGCATCTTTCGGTTTCGTGCGTGTCTTTTTTTCTGCTCGATGGTCCAGGATGGTCTTCAAGGGCCCTCGCCGAGAAAAAAATATACGTGTCTGAGCGATGCCAAGTCTCCCGCGGAAGCGCGGCCCCCCCTGGTGGCACCGACAGAGCGGAGGGAGCGGAGCGAGGGGCGGAGCTCCGGGAGGAAGAGGAGGACGCCGCGCGGATTCTTTTCGGGCCGGCGCTGGAGCCCCCGGGCGGCGCCTCTGGCGCCGCCCCTGGCGCGCGCGAAGGGGAGGGGGGGCTCCAGCGCAGATCCAAGAACTCCGCGCGGACAAACTGATGTTTGTGCCGTTATGATCTGCATCGAGTGCAAATGGCAGCCGTGCGGGCCCTCACAGGGCAGGGCTCGATCATACACCACGTCGTTCGGTCGGCCGGGGACTCGAAGTTCGGCGAGGGTATGGGGTGAGGAACCATTGGGCAAGGAATCCAGGGTCTGGAAGGCAGTGGGATTCCAATCGTGGATTGGCGATGGATGTCACCGCCGCCCTTATCAGATAAGGAACCCTCCAGGGTCTGAAACCTTCTGCTCACATTCCTTCGCAAACGTCGCCACCGTAATGCCAGCCGAGTGGACCCTCTCTGGGAAGGACTCGATGTATACACCACGTCGTTTGGTCGGCCAGGGAGCACGGTATATACGTCCTGGCTGCCCAGCATGTGGGACACTAGAGCGTCTATTCACCGAATTCCTTCGCAGAACTCCCTGGCTCCCTGGCCGACCACACGACATGGTGCAGATCTTCGAGAGGAATCCGCATGAACATGAGGTTGCAGAGGCCCGCGCGGAAGTCTTGGGTCGGCGCTGGACCCCCCTGGCGGCGTCTCCGACGCCGCTGCTGAAGGCCTGAGCTGGATCGAATCGCGACATCGGCGCGGATCGACGACCGATCGGATCGCCAACGAACCGTCCCGAATCGGATCGCAATCGGATCGCCACGCCCGGCCGATGCCGGGGCATCGAGCCGCATCGAATCCGAACCGCGGACCACTCCAGCGAAACCGAGTCGCATCGGATCGATCGCAGCCTGCCCTGAGGCCCAGAGGAGCGGCAGCCGCCTGGACCCTCTCGAGCGACGGGCGTGCCCGTAAGAGAAGCAAGCATAAGCATGACCGTCGGAAGTCCGCGTGGATATCTTCGCTCAGCGCTGGACACCCCCGGCGGCGCCTCCGACGCTGCCCCTGCCGCGCTCCGCGCGCCGGGGAGGGGGATGCAGCGCAGGTCCAAGACATCCGCGCGGACCTCCGAATAGTTTAGAAGGGCCACATGCGAGCCCTACCCCCACCCCCCACGACTTCTGAGGTTGAGGGTGAGGCTCACTTCGCTCGGGAGCTCCCGAGCGAAGTGAACCCCACCCTCCCCCTCAGAAATCGTGCTCATTCCTAATCGTGCTCGTTTCTGATTGTTCCTGGCCTCCCAAGTGGCCGGGAAGAGGCCCAGGACAGAACAACTCGAAACGAAGAGATCTTGGCCCAAAAATTACTCCGACGGAAGGACCCCACATGAGAATCTCTTTAGCTTGCATGGGGGTATCCTCCTGCCCCTTCCCTTCTCCCACCTACTCTTGCCTCCTCGTTCTCCTCCTGTCTGCTCCTCCTCCTGCCTCAACCCCTGCCTCTTCCTCCTCTTCTTGCCTCCTCCACCTCCTCCCCCTCCCCCTCGTTATGCTTCCTCCCCCCCATTCCCCCTGCCCCTCCTGCCTCCTGCCTTCTCCTCCTGCTCTCCCTCTCCCTTCTCCTCCTCCTCCTCCTCCTCCTCCTCCTCCTCATCCCCTGTCCTCCTCCTCTCCCTCTCCCTCATCCGCTTCCTCCTCCTCCTCCTCCTCGTTTCCATATTCCTCCCCCCTCCTCCCCCCCCCTCTTCCTCCTCCTCCTCCTCCTCCTCCTCCTCCTCCTCCTCCTCCTCCTCCTCCTCCTCCTCCTGCCTCCTCCTTAGGCCTCCTGCCCCCTCCTGGGGCCTCCTGGGGCCTCTTGGGGCCTCCTGGAGCCTTCTGGGCCTTCCGGGACCTACTGGGGCCTCCTCGGGCATTCCTCCTCCTCCTTTTCCTCCTCGTCCTTCCTCCCCTCAGCCTCTTCCTCTTCCTGCTTTCCTGTCTCGTCCTGCATCATCCCTCCTCCTTTTCCTGGCAATCCTCCTCCTCCTCGTCCTCGTGCGGAACACGACCCAGAGGAAGCGCACGACGTGCGTCCCAGCCGATACGCGCCGGAGGACGACCCAGAGGAAGCGCGCGCCAGAGGACGACCCGGAGGAACCACGTGAGCTGCGGGACCCATAGGAAGGCTCCCGCCTGACGCGTCCTCACAATTCACTCACAGACGAAGGTCCCGCTTGATACTTCTTCCAAACTCAGACCTGAGCCCAAAAGTGACGACAGTTACAGGAATCCGATGACCCGCTCGGATTAATAACATGATCTGCGGGCCCCATAGGGAGGAGGCTCCCGCATGAGACTTGCTCGCAATTCACTGACAAACGAGGCTCCCGCCTGATACTTCCTCCAAATTCAGACCTGAGGAGCCCAAAAGTGACGACAGTTAAAAGAATCCGGTGACCCGCTTGGGTTAGTAACGTGATCTGCGGGCCCCATAGGGAGGGCGCTCCCGCTTGAGACTTCCTCACAATTCACTCACACACGAGGTTCCCGCTTGATACTTCCTCCAAATTTAAACCTGAGGAGCCCAAAAGTGACAACGGTTACAGGAATCCGATGACCCGCTCGGATTAGTAACATGATCTGCGGGCCCCATAGGGTGGGGCCTCCCGCCTGAGACTTCTTCACAATTCACTCACAGACGAGGCTCCCGCTTGATACTTCTTCCAAATTCAAACCTGAAGAGCCCAAAAGTGACGACAGTTACAGGAATCCGATGACCCGCTCAGATTAATTATATGATCTGCGGGCACCATAGGGAGGGGGCTCCCGCCTGAGACTTGCTCGCAATTCACTGACAAACGAAGTTCCCGTTTGATACTTCTTCCAAATTCAAACCTGAGGAGCCCAAAAGTGACGACAGTTACAGGAATCCGATGACCCGCTCGGATTAGTAACATGATCTGCGGGCCCCAAAAGGAAGGGGCTCCCGCCTGACGCGTCCTCGCAATTCACTCACAGACGAGGGTCCCGTTTGATACTTCTTCCAAATTCAAACCTGAGGAGCCCAAAAGTGACGACAGTTACAGGAATCCGATGACCCGCTCGGATTAATAACATGATCTGCGGGCCCCATAGGGAGGGAGCTCCCGCCTGAGACTGGCTCGCAATTCACTGACAAACGAGGCTCCCGCCTGATACTTCCTCCAAATCCAGACCTGAGGAGCCCAAAAGTGACGACAGTTACAGGAATCCGATGACCCGCTCAGATTAGTAACATGATCTGCGGGCCCCATAGGGAGGGGGCTCCCACTTGAGACTTGCTCGCAATTCACTCACAGGCTCCCGCTTGATACTTCCTCCAAATTCAGACCTGAGGAGCCCAAAAGTGAACAGTTACAGGAATCCGAGGACCCGCTCGGATTAGTAACATGATCTGCGGGCCCCATAGGGAGGGGGTTCCCGCCTGAGACTTCTTCACAATTCACTCACAGACGAGGCTCCCGCTTGATACTTCCTCCAAAGTCAAACCTGAGGAGCCCAAAAGTGACGACAAGTAAAGGAATCCGATGACCCGCTTGGATTAGTAACATGATCTGCGGGCCCCATAGGGAGGGGGCTCCCGCCTGAGACTTCCTGACAATTCACTCACAGACGAGGCTCCCTCTTGGTGGATGATGGTGATGGGATGATGACGACGGTGTTTGATGATGATATATGATTGATGATGATGAGGATGATGATGATGATGATGATGATGATGATGATGATGATGATGGTGGTGGTGGTGGTGGTGGTGGTGATGGTGATGATGACGACGTGATGATGATGATGGTGGTGATGATGAGTGCTGATGGTGAGTGATCGTGCAATTCTGATGGTAAATGGTGGTGATGATGATGGGGACGAAGTGGTGAGTCAGCGAGTAGTGATGATGATGATGATGATGATGATGATGATGATCGTTCGATGCCGATGATGGTGAGTGATCGTGCGATGGTGATGGTGATGCTGATGATGATGATGATGATGATGATGAGTGGGGAGTGATGGTGATGGTGATGATGATGCGGAGGAGGAAGCAAAGAGGAGCAGAGGAGAGGGAGGAGGACGAGAGATCCTGCGCGGAGGGTGTGCAGAGAAAACAAGAACCCCACTTAGGATGTGGGGAACAAGAACCCCACTTAGGATGTGGGGAAAAATCAAAGAACCTTCGAATAATGAAAGATGAACACAGTGTAGTTGTGCACGTGTGGCTGTTTCCCTCCGCTGCCCAGCGACGAGCAGATCTCCACTCCGACGCCCCTCGCGGGTCTTTGCACGTGGCCGCTCTCTCCCCTCCGGCGATGCGCTCGCTCGCCGCGCTGCCAGAGGCCACGCGCCGTTCTATTGGAGGCCTGGAAATTGACACCAACACCAGCACAGGGGGTTGTCTCCACATGGGAAAAATTATCCTAGATTTCGGTGTTGGTGTCAACCTCTAGGCCTGCGATTCTGGGACCCACGAGCGCCTGGGCGCACGAGGAGTGCGAGAGAAGCTCGGCTGCACGCCAGAGTGGCCCTGGGTAAGAGCGACCTCTGGTGCGCGGTTTCCTGGGGACCGCGGCGGAACCAAACGCGAGTGCGCAAGACGCTGCTACCGCACCGCGTTCGGCGATCGGGGGGCCCCACTGGGCCCGCACCGAGGGTCACTCCGGCGAAAGGTCACTCTTACGTGCAGTCGAGAAGCATCCATGGAAAAACCTGACGATCAGCGAACCCCGTCAGGACTCGAATGGCAGTGGCGACCCCGGTCCCCCTCTGTCTGGAGGTTTTCGGCCGGACGAGAAGCCCAGGCCCCACTCAGGGTTGAATGCGATGCGGGGGCGCCCATCCTCGGCACGGGGTGCGCCCGACAGGGCTGAACCTGAATAATGTTTTTCGTGTTCGTTTTGTTTGCGTTCTCCCTCGCGTTTGTCTCCAATCCGCCGTTGCTGCAAAACGGAGTCGAAACGAAAACGGCCTACGAAATCACCCAAAACACAGTTTTTTAGGTCCAGCCATGGCGCCCGAGGAGCCCCCTCTGGGGTGGTATCCTTGAGTTCCCACGCTGGTCTACGAAGCGGCCCGATTCTTGGGGGGAGCTCGGGGATTGGTCCGGAGGGGGGTCGGGGACGCACTGACCCGGGTCAATCCAGAACCAGGTCAGTCAGGCCTTGCAGAATCCTGCAAGATCCTGCAAGATCCCGCACCCAAACCCGGGTCCATGCGAAGGATCCTGCAAAATCCTGCAGGATCCTGCGCCCAAGCCCAGGTGAATGCGACCCTGGCCCTGCAGGATCCTGCAAGATCGGGCGCTCCGGCTGACCCCCGTCTTGCATTGACCCCCGCCTCAGGGCTCCCGAGGGGGGCCACGAGCAGTCTCACCGGCACGCCGCCGTGGGGGGCCCACCGACGCGCCACCTATGTGGAAGAGGCACCGCGTCTCCGGACAAGAGCGAGGCAGCAGCAGCACAGCATCGGGGATCTTCTGACCCGGGTCAATCCAGACCCGGGTCCGGGTCAGCAGGAAACCCAAAACTGCAATGCAGGAAAAACAAAAAAACTGCAGCGCAGATCTTCGCAAACCCGGGTCAGCCAATATGCGCAGCCGCCTCGCGGCCACGAGCGGCTCGCTAACCCGGGCCAGCCAGAGGGGGTCTTCGCAGGATCCTGCAGGATCTGGCGCCCTGGCTGACCCCCGTTTGCATTCAACCCCGTCTCAAGGCTCCCGACAGTAACACGCCAACGAGCTCCTGGGACGAAAGAACCCCAAAGACCGCTCGTCGTGCTGTTTTCACGACGCGGAGGGTCCTGGGCGGCGCGCGCCGCTGAGGGGGGGCGGCGGGGAGGCATCCTCCACCGTTGTCCGTTGTGCAGGGCCCCACTGTCGTGGTTGTCCCCAGCGGACACTCTATGAGAGCGGTTTTTATGCAGTTCGCAGGCGGTTGCTGAGCACTGTGTCGGTAGGCTTATACAATCTGACCTGGGGACACCAAAGGGTACCGATACCGCTACTCCCCGGACCTCTCCTGGGGTGCGTTCTAACCAGGATTTCGGAGCGAATCCAGCGGTGGCGACGACGGAGGCCCAGGAGGCCCAACAAGGGGAAAACGAGGTGAGGGTAGAGGTATGGGTACCTTTTCCTCCTCTGATGACCAAGTCGCTTCGTCACTGCTTGGGTCCTCCAGGTGGCTCACCTCCACGTCGCTCTCCCGATCCAGCTGCGTGCAGGGCTCGCCCTCGCGGGCCTGTGGGGCAGCACTGGGCGGATCGGGCACGGGGGGGCTGTTCGTCACCGGCGCCGGCACGGACTCGTCCTCGGGCGCGGGGAGGTAGGCAACAGGTCAGATTTCGGAAACGCTGGCCGGGGCTCAGAACTCGAAGGATGTCTGCAGCCAGCTAGACCCGGGCGGGGGTGTCCGATACCCCAGCGTCGACCGGGCCCGCAGGGGTGGCTAGGTTTCGTCATTGGTCGCAGAGGGGGGAGAAGCCAGCGGGCCTCCGCGAGGGAGGCGCCGGGGGGGGGGAGGCAGCAGACGGCATCGGGAGGGGCTGGGGGGGGCCAGAGCAAAGATCGGTGTCAACGACGCACCGCCACATGGGAGCCCGTCGGCGCGTGGACGGTCGGGGAGGCGCCAAGTCTCGGGACAAAGACGGGGGGCGGGGGCTGGCGAGCCGAGCGGCGGCGTGCCAGTGATGCGGTGAGGACCTCGGGAAAAGAACCCGTAGGTAAGGAGTCCAGGCTCGGTTCCATCGTGGATTCGCCATGGAGATCACCGCCGCTCTCATCAGATAAGGAGTCCAGGTTCGGCTCCATCGTGGGTTCGCCATGGAGATCACCGCCGCCCTCATCAGAGAAGGAATCCTCCAGGGCCTGAAGCCTCCTGGGCACCTGCGCGACCGCCCCCGCCGTACCCGTCGGTCGTAAGAAGTAGGTGGAAGCATGAAGTAGAGAAAGGCGGCTTAAGTAAAGCGGGCTCGGGCCCGACCCAGAAAGAACAAAAGACATAGCAGAAACACGGATCGACCCTCGAAGTAGGACGGCGCTTGAAGCAGCAGATTGGGACCTGGGGATCCGAAAACCCGAAAACACCTACTTTCAACGATCGACCTGTATAGTTTTACACCCGAATGATCCGGGATAACTGCGGTCTGGGGTAACTCTGGTCTGGGCCTCCGAGGCGCAATTCTGCGGCTACAGTGTAGGCCAGTCCACAAGAACACTTCCACAAGAAACCCAACCCTGACACCCCAGGACGTCCAGGAATGTTTAGGGTGGGATCGTCGCGCTCTCCATCGCACAATCGTCGAAGCCCAAGAAGCCCCAGGGCACCCTGGAGGCGAGCAGGGTGTGTCTCGGCATGGGTCTCCACCGGATCCCTGACCGCCCCCATCCCTGATGATTCGGGGCTCTGATCTCACAAAAGCACGGATCGACTCCCCAAGTAGGAGGGCGCCTGAAGCGCGGTGTGGCCAGAAAGCGCCCGCCACGACGCATATACTGACTTCTCGGTGCGCGCGTGGCCACATGGGGTGGGGGCGGCGCACACATGATATCAGTATGTCGGGACGACGCCGATGTGCTGCCTCTGCCTCCCTGCAGGGGATGACGCCGATCATGCTCGTTTCTAATTGTGCTCGTTTCTAAGTGTTCCTAGCCCCCTGGTGGCCAGGAAGAGGCCCAGGTTAGAACAGTTAGGAACGAGAAAGGGTCTTGGCCCCTCAAAAAGATCAGAGAACTTTCGAAGACTTAGAAATGAACAATGTGTACTGCTCCTCCTCCTCCTCCTCCTCCTCTACTCCTCCACTCCTCCTCCTCCCTCCTCCTCCTCCTCCTCCTCCTCCTCCTCCTCCTTCTCCTCCTCCTCCTCCTCCTCCTCCTCCTCCTCCCTCCTCCCTCCTCCCTCCTCCCTCCTCCCTCCTCCCTCCTCCCTGCCAGGGGGGGCTGTGTGGGGAGGGGGGCGCTCCACGGGCCAGACCCCCCACAGGGCGCAGCTGCACCGCGCGAAGGCGGGGAGCCGGCCCTCGGCCGCAGGCCTCGGGTCGAGGGCAGAGGCCCTCGGAGGCCTTCGACGCCTGTGCGTGGCAAGGCGAAGACCCCTGAAGCCTTCGGGAGGGGGCCAAAATGACTGTGTGGGGGGCGGGGTCCCCCAAAAATACTTTCGAGCCAAATACTTTCGAGCACCCCGAGAGCTATCGAGGCTGTGTCGAGCGAGTATCGCCTCCCAGGGCCCGACACGTGAAAACAGCCCAGGGTCGGCACTTTCTTGGTGATCTAAATATTTTCTGATGGTTCACGCTAAAGTAGGTTGGAGCATCATACACCAATGAGTTAGGAGGCTCACAAAACATCAGGGGTAGGAGGGTCGTGTCTGCAGATGTATCGAACCAAGTCTTCCAGAATTCGTACCCCTAATTAACGCAAAGATGGGGACCGAAGTGAGGCCCCGTCTTCGCTGTATTCTGAGGGTCAGGGGTTCTCTCTTCTTCTCGATGGTCACTTGCTCTTTCCGCTCAACACGGGGACCCCAAAAGTCCAGTCCCTCCTCCCCGGGGCCGGCTTCTCATCTGGAAGAAGGGCTTACAGTCGGCCCTAACATACAAGAACATCCTCCAAGAACATGAGACCCTCCGCCGGCCAAGACACACAGAACATCCGAGGGTACCCTCCCCAGGGTGCACAAGAACATCAAACAAACAAGAAGAGCATGAGGGTACCCTCCCCGCACCGACCTCGATCTGATACACCTCTGTCCGACTGTACGCAGACTCAGGCAAGCTTGCTTGCATGGCACGTCCCCCTCGCCCCCCCCCTTCGCCGCATTTGCAAACAGCGCTGGGCCGAACAGGCGCGCAGGTGAGTCCCGCCTTGCGGGAAGCCCAGACTTCCTCTCGGGCCTTGCCACGCCCCCCTCCCCCTCCCCCCTCCATGCAATCAAACTTGCGGGGGCCCACAAGAAAAGCTGCCTCCCGCAGTGCTCCTTGTGGCCGTTCATGTTTCCCTCCTGGGTAGCGGTCGTTACCCCGGGGGGGTATGGGGGGGGGAAGGGGCTCGGGCGGGCTGGTACCCGGAACGGCGGCCGCGGCGTGCCCCCGCCATGGTGCGTCCGCGCCGCCGGCACGTCAATCGCCTGAATGCACCACAGCGTGTGTAGAGGCCTCCTAGATGGGGACGGAGCAGCTGGGGTCGGAGGATCGCGCCGCATCGCCGATACTTCGGCGATGCATCGGCGGTGTATCGGCGATGCACCGGCGATGCATCGCCGATGTGGGCGATGCATCGGCGACGTCGACGCGAAGCAAATCGGGCTCCGCATCGAGCCGCATCGTCGATGCATCGGCGATGCCGCGCGATCCTCTGGACCCGTCTACTCCGAACCCATCTAGGAGGCCTAGGATGTAGGAGGAAGCCCAGGCCACCCCAACCCAGTACGATCGTCAGCGTTACCCGGGCGGGGCAGGGCTAGGCCCGGGCAACGAGCGTCACCCTGGAGAGGAACAAAACAAGCGCTCGCCCTGGCGGGCCCGGGGCCCGGCGAGGGCGGCTCTGTGTGCGAAGGCCGCACACGGGGAACAGTAGGAACCGCGCGCATATACGCCAAGGTATCTGGGCCCTGTCCCGTGGGGCGTCGCAGGACGTGCTCTGATTCGGCGTGTCGACATTGGGCGGAGGGGGGGCGAGGGGGGGGGGGTCTGGTCCACTGCTTCGTGTGACTGCTTGCAGCGGTGCGTCCAAAACAGCCAAGATCTACTCCATGGGTGGGAAGGGGGCGGGGGAAGGGGGGGGAGGGGGAGACTCCACCCGCTTGAAACAGGCGCCCAAGACCACCAAGATCTACTTCATGGGGGGGGGAGGGGGGGGTGCGAGGGCCCGCGCCGACCGGCAAAACAAGGATAACAAAAACGGTCGCAAAGCCGCTGGGCAACGTGTATAGCGTTTTCGTCGATCCTCTGGGCGGCAGGCGCTGAACAAAACATAGACACTGCGCTGGCGCCGCGATTTGCCACGAAGTGGTGGGCAACCAAATTATAATACAGTGGACATGTCCCTGACCCCGAGACAACATCCGTCTCCATTTTTGCACAATGCGCCGACCCCCAAAGGTCTCGACCCTTCCCCGGGACTGTTTTTTCATCCCGAGCCGTTTTTTTGTTCGACGGTTCCGAGGCCTGGTAAGGGCCCCAAGAAGCAGAACACAGTGAAATACCTCCCGCCGTGTCTCTTCGTCATGACTCGAGGGGGTCTGGGTCTGGAGGTCGAAGACGGGGGAAGACCATGAGATCCGACGTTGCAAGAAAAGTGCAACATCGCAAGAAATCACCAGAGCCCCAAGCCCCAACTTCCTTGGCCATTTTCCGAAACAAATCGATCTGTGAGGGCCCCGGGGCCCGAAATGGAGCGAAAACGCCCGCTGCGAAAAAAAAAATCGGAAGGGACAACAGCACCACTACCACCTGCTAGGAGGGTGGCCGCTCCCTCCCCTCGAGCTGGTGGCCCGCTGTGAAAAATTGCAACGCCTGGAACTCGGATTTCGCTGTGTCCCAGCACGCCAGAGGTGAAGGGGCCCTGGGACACACGAGTAAATACACACAAATAGCCAGATTCCCCATATTTTCGCATATTTTCTTCGGTTTTGTCTTCCCCTCCACTTCCAATATTTTCCCAGCTGGTGGCCCGCTGTGAAAAATTGCAACGCTCCTCCTCCTCCTCCTTCCTCTTCCTCCTCCTCCTCCTCCTCCTCCTCCTCCTCCTCCTCCTCGTCCCAGCACGCCAGAGGTCTGCGGAGGGCGAGGGGGGCGACTGCCGCGGGGCCGCTCCTGCGCGCCGCGGCGGGGCGCCGCTGCCGCGGCCGCGCCTGCCCTGCGGAGCTCCACCTGACGCCACGGCGGGGGCCTATTCCTGGACTCCTCCTCCTCCTCTCTCCTCCTCCTTCTCCTCCCCTCCTCCTCCTTCCTCCTCTCCTTCCTCCCTCCTCCTGCTCCTCCATGTAGATAGATCCTCCTCCTCCTCCCCCTTCCCTCCTCCTCCTCCTCTCTGCCTCCTCCTCCTCCTCCTCCTCCTCCTCCCCCTCCTCTCCTCCTCCCTCCTCCTCCTCCCTCCTCCTCCTCCTCCTCCTCACTCTCCTCCTCCCTCCTCTCCTCCTCCTCCTCCTCCTCCTCCTCCTCCTCTCCTCCTCCTCCTCTCCTCTCACTCCAATCCTCCCTCCTCCTCCTCCTCTCCTTCTCCTCTTCCTCCTCCTCCTCCTCCTCCTCTCCTCCTCCTCCTCCTCCTCCTCCTCCCCGGTTCTTTTTTCCTTATAAGCAATTCCTTCCTGTCGCGCCCTGAGGCTGGTCGAAACTGCGGGCCGTGCGTTTCACCAGAGACATCTTCACCATTCATGATCCTGAAGCTTGAGAACTCGCAACAGCTTCACGCATTGAGGGCCGGCCGTTTTCAAAATGCGGCTCTCGCCATGGCGCCACGCGCACCCGTTGTACAAACATGCAAGAGGTTCACGCATTGAGGGCTGGCGGTTTTCAAGATGTGGCTCTGGCCTTGGCGCCGCGCACACTCGTTTCATACATTCGCAAGAATTTCACGCATTGAGGGCGGGCCGTCTTCAAAGTGTGGCTCTCGCCTTAGCGCCGCGCACATTCGTCTTAAACAATTGCAAGAGTCTCATGGATTGAAGGCGGCTCCTCTTCAAAGAGCTCGGACTGCCAGACAAGTATTTGGACTCGCTGACAGAGCTCGGACTGCCAGACAAGTATTTGGCACTACTGAAGTGTATTTACGCAGACCAGGTGGGCACTGTCGACGGCGTCTCGTTCTCTATCCGCCGTGGAGTTAGACAGGGAGACATATTGAGTCCGCTTCTGTTCAACGCAGCAACTGAAGTTATCATGCGCCGATGGAAGATGCGTTTGTGTGCTAAACACGGTTTCCACCTTTCTGTTGACCCCTCGGATAGGCTGACAAACGTTCGCTTTGCGGATGACCTCATACTGTTTGCAAAGTCTCTTCGAGGGGTGGAGGACATGACCACGCTGCTTGTGGAAGAGTTTGCCTGCGCGGGGCTTGTTGCAAATGGCTCGAAGACGAAGCTTTTGACAACGGGTAGTGCTGTTTCTTCGGGGCAAACGCCCTTGCTTGTAGATCTCGCGGGCATGTTTGTGGAGGTCATCAAGACAGGCTCTTCTCATAAGTATATTGGAAAGTCGTTGCCGGGAGATCTGGCCTCGAGGGGGCAGAGAAATCTAAATCATCGCCTGGCGTGCGCATGGATGCGATTCCACGAGATGGGCCACACTTTGCTGAACCACAAGATCCCAGTCAACTTGCGTCTGAGATTATTCAATTATGTAGTGAGCCCAACCGTCCTGTACAGTCTTTCAACAACCCCGCTGACCTCATCACAGCTGGAGAGACTCGACGGGGTACAACGAAAGATGATGAGACGTATTGTGGGCTGGGTGATGCACGACGAAGAGGACTGGCATGAGACAGGGCATCGCATGAAAAAAAAACTGAAGAACGCCTGGGAGAATACCCGCGTGGCGGTCTGGAGCCAAGCGCGAGAAAAGCAACGGCGAGGGTTGCTTGAGAAAGTGACCAAACGGCAGGCCGGGATAGTCTGTCGAGTGTATCGCTGGTCGGCACGGCCAACTGTACCGGGCCATCCTGTTTACAGGGAGCGAGGGCGTCCGGCATGCAGGTGGACGGACGGCGTCTGAGAGATGGCATTGTCGCCTGTGCATGTTTGTCAGTATTTGTATGTGCTTGTGTGTGGTCGTTGTGTCTCGGCGTGTTACATGTGAGCTTTGCATGGTATTTTTCCTCCCGTGTCCTGTGCAGGACCGGCTTCGTAGCCGTGCGGGATCTGTCTGTCTCCTCTTCAAAATGTGGCTCTCGCCTGAGCGCCAGGCGCATTCGTTTTAATCATTGTAAGAGTTTCACTGGTTCGCATGGCGAGCGTACCAGAAATGGCGTGTGGGACAAATTCAGGACTGTCAAGGCGCAGGGTGAATTCCAACATCGTTGATGAGTCTGGGGTTTGTACTAGTCCTCCTTCTCCTCCTCCTCCTCCTCCTCCTCCTCCTGCCTCCTCCTCCTCATCCTCCTCCTCCTTTCCTCCTCCCCGTTCACCTCTGCCTCCTCCTCCTCCCTCCTCCTCCTCCTCCTCCTCCTCCTCCTCCTCTGTCTCCTCCTCCACCTCCTCCTCCTCCTCCTCCTCCTCCTCCTCCTCCTCTCTCTCCTCCTCCTACCTCCTACCTCCTCCTCCCCCCTCTCTCCTCCTCTCCTCCTCCTCCTCCTCTCCCCTCCTCCTCCTCGATATGCTTCTTCTCCTCATCCTCCAACGTCCTGCTCTTCTCCTCCTCTTCCGCCTTCCCTCTTCTCCTTCTCCTCCTCCTCCTCCTCGTCCTCCTCCTCCTCCTCTTCCTCCTCTTCCTCCTCCTCCCTCATTATAATGTATGTTGTTGCTCCTTCCCCTCCTAGTCCTCCTTCTCTTCCACCTCCTCCTCGTCCTCCTCCTCCTCATCATCCTCCTGCCTCCTCCTCCTACCTGCACCTCCTCCGACTCTCTCCTCCTTTCATCTCCTCCACTTGGGTCCAGTGGCGGGGGGGAGGCCTCTGGCCCCTCTTGGGCCCCACCCTGGGAACAAGGAAGCCCAGGCATGCCCGCGCTCCGAAAAGGATCGGGACGGGAGGTGTGTGGCTGACTTGGGCCCTTGGGGGCCCTCGGCGAAACCCGGGAGCGTCAAAGAAGGACTCGGGAAGAAAGCGATCCCAGGGAAAGCGTCGGGACTTGCGGGGACCCCGTGCTGAAAACATCAAGGCGTCGCATGTCTGGGAAGGCGACACCAACACCAGCGCGAGGCGCCAGACTGTGTCTTCCTGGTGGTGCTCGCTCGAGACATCTGCCATCCCCAGCTCGGGGAGGCATCGTGGACCCCCTCGCTGGAGGCTGCACCCCTGGTGGTGGTGCCGCTTCTCTGTCTGAGCGGCGTTCCAGAGAGGGCAACGCCTTCGAGCCTCGAGGGGATGGGCACCTCTCCCTCGGCGGAAGCACGGCAGAAGACGGCGGACGGAAGCCGGCCGAAGCAGGCACTGGCCCGCACGGAGACGGCAACTCCTTAGGCTCAAGGCTTCCGGGGTCGGCCGTGGGGGAGGCGCGTCCTGCGGCAGAGGCTCCGGGGGTCCTCCGCCGCGGTCGGCCCTCGCGGGGCCCTCCAGGGGCTCTCTGGGGGCCGTCGAGGCACGACCCGGGAGGAAGGGCGCGCCGGTCCCAGGGAGAGCTCCAAAGTCTTTCGGGCCTGCTCCCCTCGGGACCCCTATACGCCGTCAAAGCAATTTCCTGTGGGGCCGCGCGCAAGCGCCGTACTTTCGCTTGGCAGGAGCGCGTTCCAATCCCAATGCCAAGGGTGGGAGTCGGCAGGGCCTGAGGACTTGACCTAATTCTTCCTCGTCCTCATCTCCCCCCTTCCTCTTCCCCCGTGTCTGCCTCATCCTTGTCCTCATTCTCGGCCTCGTCCTCCACCTCCACCTGAGCTTCAATCATCCTCCGGCCCCTTATCCTCCTCCTGCGTGCTCCTCCTCCTCCCCCTCCTCCTCCTCCAGCTCCTCCTCCTCCCCATGGAACTCGGAACTCGGAGCAACTGGTCGTGCAATCACAAAACAAGTTGAAAGAAGAAAGGAAAATGACAACAAGGGTCATCCTCCCCGTCATCATCCCCCTTCTCCGTCCAATTGTTCTCCGCGTCTTGCCCTCCGCTACGTCAGTTCCATCTCGAGTTTCCTTCTCCTCATCCTTCCTCCTTTCTCTCCCCTCACAGGCTAGTCATCCTGCTGCTGTTGCTCCTCTTCTTCCTCCTCCTCCCCCTCCTCCTCCTCCTCCTCCTCCTCCTCCTCCTCCTCTTCCTCCTGCTTGCCAAGACACTGCAAGACGCTTTGGCACCCGGCTGTAAACATTTGTGGCTGGTGTCGCTGTGCCCACGAGATCCTGATAAGCGATTTGACTTGCCTACTGGGCCAGACGAGCGCCTCGGTCGAGACATCCCCACAACCTGAGCGCGACTGGGCCGGTGATACACCCCCTAGATTCCCCCCCTTGGGGTGCCCAAGTGCGACGCCTGCGAGCTACATCGCGGTGACCATGGGGTTATGACAAAAGAGACTCGCCCACTGGACCAAATCGGCGGCACCTCGCTCCAAGTATACCCGCAATCTGAGCGCGAGCGGGCCAGTGATGTGCCCCATGGCCCAAGTGCGACTCCCACAATCTACGTCGCGGCGATCATGGGGCTGTCGAAAGAGACTCGTCCAATGAGCCAAAGGAGCGCCTCGCTCGAGACACCCCAAACATCTGAGCACGAAAGGGCCAGTGATATACCCCTTTGCGCACCCCCCATTTTGGGTTCTCAAGTGATGCGCCCGCCACACCTCACTGACCACGAGCGACCCTGAGTATGAGCAGAATGTATGAGTGGTGAGTAGGTCTGAGCATGGCAGACAGAATGTGGAAACATCCAAGTGTGGGTCGGAGTATGCGTGAATATGAATGTGAATGGACAGCGCGTGAGTGGTCGGTGTATGTGCATGGCTACGACTGCGCTGTCACTGTGTGGATGGTCTGGGTACGAGTGAGTCGGAGTAACAGTGAACTTGAAGGTATGTGTGCGTGTGGCAAGAGTGTAAGTGAGCCTGAGCGTGAATGAATGAATGCGTGCGTCTGAGCGTGGAGGAAGACTAGGGAGTGTGAGAAGGCGGATGCGTCACACTAACAACACTGACCCCATGGTAGCATATAGGGAACTAGGGAAGGAGGCGGATAACACATAGGATAAAGAAGAGGAGGACGAGAAACTCATGATAATAATCAGCATGATGAAGAAAAGAGAACGGACGCCAAGGAGGAGGACACGGGACACGATACAGACCAGGAACAAGACGAGGACGAAGGGAGGCTGGGACAAGGGAGGCAATATGACGAAGCCCCTCCCCCCCCGAGGCGGCCACCACCAGCGGAGGCCATGGCCACAGCCTACATCGGTGCAGATTTACAGTGCTGGTTTGACCTACGCATCTGTAGCTCACAAATGGTCTGCCCTGTGTCATGCGGCTGGTCGTCCTCCTCCCCGTCCTCCCGCGATGCTCAAACGCTTCTGAACCTTCTTGGGCCCCGGGAGGCATCCTGGCGACCCATTTGGGATCCTCAGGCTTGTGAGCTTGCGAAGGTCCTTGCCCATCCCAGAAATGTCAGCGTTGAACCAAATATGTGGGTTTCAATATTTGGCCGAAAGGTGAGAGATGGGGAGGTC